TGACAGTTATTTTCAGCCGTAGGAGCCAAAAAGAGCTAAAACAAATGACATGAATGATGCAGTTTGTCACTAGGAGTTTTTGTTTTTATGAGTCCCCTATGTAACAGTTTATTGCCTGTTGATCTTGCCAGTAGATCCCTTTTTCCCCACTTCCTCTAGCAGGGTGGTAACACTATTTGTTTTGCACAGCAGTATTTTTGCACAGCAGTGAAATCGCACAGCAGTGTTGTGGACTGATATTTTTCCATTTACTATAACAAGCTGTTCAGCAAAAGTGGCAGCCATAGGGTTGGGAGAAACCGTATCACACTGGCAGCAAGGGTGTTCACAACAGGTGGCTTGTATTTATATGGTTTTAAACCTTTATTCCAAAAAAATAATAATAATAATAATAATAATAATTTTGCTGTAGCTGCTAAAAAAGTGTTAGCTAGAGTTGGATTCAAATTTGTGTGTCTTTTATTTAAAGTCCATTTTAATTGGCAATTGCAATGTAACTGAAGCAATGGGTGATACCCAAAAAATGCAATAGACTGTGAATATTTTTTAATAGCCCGGGACTCCTAATTACTAATTGTGGGATCTCTTTTGTGGTCCTATTAGGCTGTGTACTGTAATGCTGAATTATACAACGATACAATAACCCCAAAGCAGGAACCTGAATCCAAATCATAATCAACTTTAATCAGTTTAGAGCAGCCAGAATAGCTATAATATATACTGTATGTTGGGTTGCTACCACATATTGCATTTGCCATTTTGTATTAATTAAAGGTAAATGGTAATTATTTATATAGTTATCTCTCCATGAGATTATTTTTAAGCTAACCATACTATTCGATATTATGGAAGATATTTAAAAAATTGTAATTATTTTTTGGGCAAGAAAGTGACATCATAGGTAAACAGGAACCCATCAATGTACGTGTAGAGCTTGTGGTCATTTGGGTTGTAGGACAGACTATGCATAGTATCCATCATCTTCTCAATGGGAATACTCAGATTCTCTTCCTTACCAGTTTTGGTGTCATACATGTAGAAGATCTCTTCCATATTTGTTCTGTAGATTCTTGTAGCATACAAGACCCCACAGACCATGAACGCATTAGTGACACCCGGCTTGTATAGGGAAGTGGACCAGGTTTGCTTTACTTCCAATGTAGTAGCATTAAGTTTGCTAATAAGAATTTTCCCACCCTCTTGTTCCGTAGCATAAATGACCCAAGGACCCTCTTCATCAGCAGCAAGATCAATGTCCTGCCATGGTGTGGATGCATAAGAGAAGCGGTTGTTGTAAGTTGCATCCCTTAGCACCAATCGCTCCACTACATTAGTTATCATGTTGTATTTGCAGAGATTATTGGAATTGTAGCAATTATAATACATTGTGTTATTGTACATAATCATTCCACCACCTTGCCCATAACTGGCACTGCTAAGGCTTTTTGTTACACTGTGTTTGTAGAGTAGGAGATTGTTATAAGAAGGATAGGTGTATACATAATTCATCAAGCGCCTGTCAGTATTTAGTGGGGCCACCCAGACAGTGTTCTGATCAGCTCCTAATAATGAGTCTTTTCCCCATCCTCCTGATTTGTAGTTTGCACCATTCAAATTCTGGTGAACTATTTCTGGTTTACTGATATTCCCAATGGGTCCATGGTCACAAGTACCTGTACAACAAAAAAAGAAATTGTAAAAAACAGATGGAGTGTTTTCTAATATGAACTATGACAGTAAAATCATATCAAGTTCTACCTATTGCCAAACATGACAGCCACTAACTATACTTTGCAGCCTGAAAATTCACTGACAGTTGATAATTAACTAAGATAATTTGGGGACTCAAGCAAATATCTTTGCTTGAATTCCTGTGTAGCACCCTGTAAGCACGAGTACTTAGTTAAGTTTAGTTCTCAGATTGTCAGATAGTAATGAGTCAGATGCCGATCTATAGTTCATGCTAATTTGGCTCCCTTAATCAATCTGTTATCATTTGCATCTGCCTGCTGCTGGGAGTATGCTTGCGACAGAGCAGATCAACCAATAATAGATTGTTATGAATATCTGTCTCCCTCGTCAATCACTGGGAGGTTCGTGGCCAGTGGTGCATGCTGGGAAAGGATATCAATATTCAGGGTGGACCATATAAGGTTCTCTTTCTCCCCTGGGTCCTGCCTGGGTGGAGACTGCTACTGACTGGGGTCCCAGTGACTGAAACTGAAAATGATAGCTTCAACAGGCATGGGGAACCTGAGAAGTGAGCCTCTGCTGAAACAGAGTCTGATTAGTGACTTTGGATTCAAGTACTGCTTGGCCAGGTGGTCAAAACACAGATTGACACATTTGGCTTAAAGCTCCTCGTCTGTGGAAGCAGCAGTTAGTTTGGTTTAACACTTAAAGGAGTCTACTCTATCCTGGGTGTTCTTAGCCCTAAACTTCTCTCTCCCTGAAGTTCTACAATAAGGTTCCTTCAGCACCATACCTACAGTCTGGATCTTAGCTTTATTGGTCACCACAGAGGGTGGTAAGTGCTATTGGGACAGCCAGGTTGCTAAAATCCCTAGACAGGCTATGGAAGACTCGTTCATCCAGCGGCTCCATCGGGGGTGAGCATTACTCCTGGGTTTGCACATTTGCTGTGGCCATAACAAGGGGGGCCCACCCTATCTGTTTTTGTATCTATACTCTGTTATTGAGATTACAGCCACCAGACGGAACTGAGGAGCAATTCTTATGTTCCTCGTCTCCATCTAGCAGCTTGGCGAATGTGGTGAAATTATATGGTGCAAAGAATACCCAAACATGTGCAAGGAAAATAAAAAGATTTTTGCTTGCACATGATTGGATGCTGCAAGTCAGCAGAACTTCATGTCATTCACTGAACCTCCCCTCCAAAATGTAAATTCCTTTGCAAATTGAACAGCCTGTTTGCCTTTAGGAAATAAACCCGAGCATTACTGTGATCTATTGACTTGCAAACATTGTTGCAACCTACCGTAGTGTGCTGGAGGAAGGGAAGGCAGATTTGGTTTGGAGCTGTTCTGCTGACACTCTTCCAACCGTTTCTGTAAATCTGCAATCTCCCGTCTGATTACCAAGACATTGTTCTTATCATAGACCTCCAGCTGGCTAACCATGATGGAAATGTTGCGGATCTATAAAAGAAGGAAAGCAATGCTGGCAGGTTGTCCTATGGATCTTTTCTACTTTATTGTTAATGCAGTTAACAATGCATTTAAAAGAAACTTTACTGGTTTTGGGTCAGTTAAATTTATATTTTTTTCAAAAATTTATATAAAACCTCTATTTTACAAATGATCATTTAATTTAGGGCGCAACTACAGAACTGGTGTCACAGAGCATTTTGACGTTTCTAAACACAAAGTTTGGCTAAAGCTGTTTGCATTCAGTCTGTTGCTCTCTAATGGAAATTCCATAGGGCTCCCTATGAATAGAGGGCAGGGAGGGGGTATAAGCCACAATACATTTTTCAAAAAAGGTTTGCATACACTAACTCAAACCGTGACATAGGTATATCAAAAACAGGTATATGGGTATGACAGCTATAAACTGAGACTTTTTTAAAAGTCTCAAATTTAAAAGACAACTTGAAATGTTATTATAGCCACCAGACATATTAGCATTTCAATAGCAGTAGTATTACATCAGTGACAATACAAAGGCATAAAAAAGATAAATATGCCCAGAGTGTCATTAGCTGTACCATACATATAATCACTAAATTAAGCCAATACGAGTTTATACAGTTTAAAGATACAGCTAGGAGACATCCAGTCCAAATTAATACCACTCCACAAGGTGGAAACGGTGACTGTACCCCTCGGGTATGTTATACTGTTTCCACCTCCACCTGTACCAGGTGACATTTGCTTTTGTTTGGTATCTATTTTTTTATATTGTGCTGTTAATTTGTACATGTTTCCTAGATGTTTCATAGCTACATTTTTATATTACCTTCCATAAGCTTCACAGTGACTATATGCATAGTACGGCTGAGAAGCTCAGATTTATCTTTCTATATGTCTTTGTATTTTCAGTGATTTCATTATACAGCTACCAAAATACCTACTGTACATATCTGGTGTGCTAACATATTATTTCAAGGTGTCGGGGGGTATAAGTCACTCCTATGTCTCACCTATTTGCGTGTTTAAATTTGAACTCAAGTTATTTGTGTTTAAATTTGAACTCTTGCTCTTTAGTTTAAATTTAAACTCTTGCTATAATAAAGCATAAACCTTCTGCATGAAAATTAAAAAAAAATGTATATGCAATATTTCATATTTATTGAATAAAAAAAGCGTATTTTTCTTGTAACTCTGAAATGTACACTCAATACTATAGTATATGAAAATCTTCTATATGCTTTGTGCTATGGAAATGCAGTACTGAAGTACAACATGAGAACAATGACTGAAATGTAGCTAATTTGTATTCAAACCTTTATCCATTTCATCTCAGGAGGGGAGTTGCATTGGATTACATTAACCAACTGTTGCCTATTATAAGCATTATTTGCCTTACCTCCTGGTAGAGCGTCTCCACAATCACACTGGAGCCATTTATTGAGGTTCTTAGTTGCAGTATCATGCCCTCCATCTCTTTGATCTCCAGCTTGATGAGCTCGAAGTCCAGCTCAGAGTAGGAAAGTCCTCCGTTCTCCATTATCTTCACACGTCTGCTTAGGTCCTTCAGCTGCTCCATGTAGACAATCACTGAGCTCTCATAGTTGTGGATCTTCAAAAAGATTTAGCTTATTTACATTTTCATTTCTGTAACTTTGATTTATTCTACAATGGTTTTAGGAAATATTAAACCATTCACATCAGCTTCTGCCCTTAACGAAGGTTACAATGTTCCAAACACCCTTAGGGTCCCCACACACCTTACGATTATCGTACGATAATCGCGGGAAATCCTGCGATCGTACGATGATCGTAAGGTGTGTGGAAGCCGTGCGACCTCTACTACTGTAAGGTCGCACGACTTTAAACTTACGGACATGTTTGAAAACACGCCGAGCATCGTACGATGTTCGGCGGGTTTGTGGCATGTCCGTACAATAATAGCCGCACGGGCCGGTGTGCGCAAGCTCACACTGCCCGTTCGGCATTGCGGTCATTGGAAGCCTGCCCCTCAGGGGGCGTGGCTTGCGATAATCGCAAGTACGATCTGCCTATGCAACATAGGCAGATCGTACGTTTTTTTAAAGTACCTTACAACCATCGCAAGACAGAAGTCTTGCGATGGTTGTAAGGTGTGTGCCCAGCCTTACAGACATTCACACATAGGCCAGTTCCGTGAAAATCCAATTAACCTACTGGTATATTTCTGAATGACAGCACAGAACATACAAACATTAAAGGTGCCCATACACTGCACGATTCTCGTACGAGAATCGCGGGAAAACCGGAAGCCCGCCCCTCATTACAGTCAGCGCAGGCCCGCCCCGCAGGGGGTGTGGCTTGCGATGATCGAGAGTGCGATCTGCCCGTCCAAGATGGGCAGATCGTACGTTTTTTAAATCCCTTTACAACCATCACAAGACAAAGGTCTTGCGATGGTTGTACAGTGTATGGCCACCTTCAGAATAACATATACAATCTATGTAAACAGAGCTGTATTGACTGAAACTGATTACATGTTCCAAGTGCTGCAAGACCACAGTGTTAAACGCTGAATGTACAATTATGCTTGCACCTGATGGTCACCCACTTACATTAATTAAAAAAATATATACAACATTTTTATTTATCCATTGATGTTACAGATAGATGAGGCATAACGTTTCCAGATGTCAGCATAAATGTAATACTGTCAATATATGATCTTTATTGTCTACCTTAGTGATTTCTGCATTGATAATTATGGTCAGGTTACGGTTTGCTATTTCCAAGCTCTCCATTCGATCTGCTGGGAAGGTGGAATCTTGGTGAATGATGGAACAGTAACAGACCCCATATGCATCCAGAGATCCAGTGGAGTTCTGGTTATGTTAAAGGAAGAGAATAAATAGGAAAAAAACACTAACCAAAAAACTTTACATCATCCAATATTTTCATGCATTCAACATAATTAAATAACATTTTGGTAAAGTTATCCGTCTGTCTATCCATCTATCATTGGTAAAGTGCTTCAGAATTTGCTTGGCTATTTCACAGATGCTGTTTAAAGGAATCTTGTACTGGGAATATTTAGACTGCACTGTCTGACCTCTCCTACTGAAAATACTAGTTGTCTTGTCTGTGTTGCTTAATAAATTATTTTAATATTTTAGGTTACTGACCTGGAACAATTACAGATTGAGAGTGCTGGCTTTTCTCTGACTTTCTGCAACCTGTTTCTTGGTCTGTGACTCAGAAACCATTGGAGCCGGAGAGAGACAGGAAACCAGCATTTTCAGTAAAGGTATTGTCCCTTAAAATGGCTCCCCGCTTGTGTTCTGCTTATGGCGGTGACACTTTACTCAAGTTGATTGTGTATCCATGCTTGTCATATGAGATGCAATGTGTATTTTATTTCTTTGTGTTGTTAAAAATATAAATTTGTGAAAGTTAAAATGGCTCCCCGCTATTGATTGAAAATTTGCTCAATCTTTGGAAGGCTATTACACTGTAGATTGTATAAGTTCCTACTTTGAAAAGCTAAATTGATATTCATATGGGTTCTGTTTATCAATTTTGCAGTATATGCTCAAATGTAAAATAAACAAGCGGTTAAACTAAGAAAATATAGGGTCAGTCTGAAATAGGGTCAGTCTGAAAACATTCATGGGCTAAGTAGGGATTTTAAGTATTGGTGAATGCGGTAATCACCACAATTCTAAAATCTGGGATATGGGAAACACAATGAATGTCGTGCTGAGCTGTTGAAAATATTAGCTGCCTGTTGGTAAATTTAGATAATATAAAATGTGTACATAATTGGGTGTAATTTATTACTATTGTGTACAAAATCAGAAGCTTCTTCTAGCCTTACTTTGTGTTCACAGTGAGTTGGGATACCCAAAATAACTTACCAGACTGGCAGCCTGATTTTGGTAAAGACTCAAGAATAATAAAATCAGTGGGAGCATGGTGACGTTCTTGTCTTCTGTGTCTGAGACCTTAACTAATACACCTATATATAGTGAAATATATCCACACCCCTTAACTGTAATATTGCATAAGCATGATATTTTGGTTCTTTGCCAAATCCTCGACAGATTATCAAGGGTTCTTAATTGAAAGCAGCGCAGACTTTATATTGGTGAAGCGTTGCATATCCAATACTGTTTATATGGTGATATTGAAATAGTTGGGGTAAAAAACGGTAAAAGAATGGTAATTTGCTGAGAAAATACTGTGCTAATTTATCTATAGAAATATGTTGATCTCTTTAGAAATGGCCTGAATGTAATATAGGAAAGTACTAAGTCTCTTCTCCTCTAAGCAGTGCTAGTGGCAATGGACAAGAACATATGTGATCTTGAATTAAAGAAGCCCAAAAATGCTTCTAATAAAGTGTTGGAAAAGATGATCCCTGCCAAGTCAAATTAAGGTAAACGTTTTGGTGTAAATTTATTTCTCCTACATCTTGAAGCCCAAGGATTGATGCTATTGCGCAAAACCTTTAAAAGACATATAGCTAGAATAGTTTACGGAATGCTGCCTCTGCCAAGGTATTCCAATAATAGCCAAAAAGATAACAGGTCTTGTAAATGCCTGATTGTAATGTGACAAGTGTGATCAGGATTAAAATGATCAGACATTGCTTTTGGAAACATACCCATAGGAAGACTTTAGAATGTCTCTTGGATATTATGTCAGAGTACTGGTAGGCGATTGTAGAAGGTACCTTTGGAGGCATAATAGAGAGTTTGCATTTAAAAGTCATTTTGGAAGCAATCCTAGCAGAAATGTTTGTAAATTTAAAAGACACAGGAAAGAAGATTCTGGAGAAAGGTCATATGGATCCTTGGTTAGAGAGGCTTACTTTTCTAGAGATGGGAGTATGTGTGTGATAGGTGGTAATGTCTTCTCATGAAGGGGGGAACAGTTACTATCCAATGTTTTAACTGGAACTGAGAGAGGTTAGTTATTGCTTGTGTGTGCCGATCTCTGGGTATGAGACTAGTACGCTGTCACTGACTAGAGAAGCAGATTCAGCATGGTCCAGCGTCTAAGTGTCATGGAGCAGTTATGGGACTGATTTTTAGGTAGATGTTTTCCACACAAAAGGGCAATTAGTCTGGCCAGACAGTCTGTTGACAGACATGCAGGGAGAGTGGGTCCAGGCCTGAGAGACAGGCACTTTGACCAGACTGTTTTCTGATGAGAAGTGAGTGGTCACTGTCAGGTACAGTGAGATAAGGTGTTTGAACAGGCAAGATGCCTGTATAGCCTAAGCTGGGCAGCTCAATAGCCAGGAGGCTGAGTTACTGTTTGTGCAGTGACAGACTGTGGGTCAAAGGGGACCAGAGTCAGCCAGGATGCTGAAAGCATTGAATTGTGCTATGCTCAGTAAGAATGCTATGTGAAGTAAGAAACTCTGTGAGGGAAACCCTTCTATATAAGAACATTAAAAAAAAAAATAAAAGTGGGCAAAAGGCCCCAAGTTGGCAAGTGGAATACGTCTTTGAAAGCTCTACCTTCAAAAGCTAGACACTAGGCTAGGTACTAGTGTCACTGGCGGAACTACCAGGGTCGCAGCGGTCGCAATTGCGACCGGCCCTGGTGTTCCGCCACTTGGGGGGGCCCAGCAAGGACGTAGAGGGCCCCCGCGCGATCGTGCCGCTCCTTCCCTGTCACACAGCCACCCGCAGCATGTACGGGCGGCTGTGCGAAAGGACTGGAGACGCTGTCACTGATCCCGGAGAATGAGCTGGCCCCACCTCTTAGGGGCGGAGCTAAGAGGGCCGTCTCTTAGCTCTGCCCCCTGCCCGCCAAGACGAGGAAGAGGGCCATGGGCCTGCAGGAGAGGGAAGGTAAGTTTGGAGTGGGAGGGGGCTCTGGGAAGAGAGAGAGAGAGAGTGTGTGTGTGTGTGTTGCTGGGACTTGTAGTCCAGCACAGCTGGTGGTAATCTGCATTGCTGTATGATGATTACACAGCAATGCAGAATAGCACCAACTATGTAGGACTACAAGTCCCAGCAATGCATTATAGGGGGGGGGGGTTGGATGCTGGTGGTATTCTGCATACCTTACTTTTATTATAATGTATTGCTGGGACTTGTAGTCCCGCATAGCTGGTGGTATTGTGCATTGCTGTATGAAGATTATACAGCAATGCAGAATAGCTCCAACTATGTAGGACTACAAGTCCCAGCAATGCATTATATTTATTTTTAAGTAGGGATACAACAGTGTTAATACTGGGCATTTTCACAAGTATTCATACTCGTGAAAATGCCCCGATACTAAACGCAGATACCGGTCGAGAACGCTGAACTAGTCGAATTTTTCGACCTCAGCATCTGCTCTTAAACACAGATCAATATTATCGAGGAAACCGGGATTTATTGACAAAGTATTTTGTTTAAATCGTTAATTGTGACCGATAATAATATTCTGTCCATTTCCTACCATGGACGGCATATCATTAACGGTTACAATGAACCATTACAAACAAATACTTTGTAAATAAATGCCGGTTTCCTCGTTAATCCCGTCTGTACATAAACACAGATACTGGGTCGGCATTCTCGACAGAACACCGGCACTAAAATTTTAAACAAGCAGCTGCCTGAGGTCCCGTGTTTGCTGGGGACCTCGGCAGCCTTCCTGTTAACCATGCAGTGCCGTGGGGTTGGAGGGGGGGCCCTTTATGGTTTCTTGCACTGGGGCCCTGAAGGTTCTAGTTACGCCTCTGACTAGTGTACTCAGTAATCAGTACTCAAAAGCTAGACACTAGGCTAGGCATAAGTGTACTCACTAATCAGTATTTAGTAGCAAACTTGGTCAGATGCACGACCTCTTTACCTCTGCAATACAAGTTTGTGAAAAAACACTTGCGCTGTGGTGTGTGGCTGTTAACTAGCTTTGCCAATACTAAGCACTGGAGTGTTGAGGACAAGGAGGACCTTTTAGGTCATTTCCTTAAAATGCAAATCATACCACGCAGAGGGTAGAAGACTATGATGAGGTAAACAAAAGTGTAGGACTTTAGTTGAGCTTTATGTCATTAGCTCATCAGAACATCTCCAGTGTGTCACAGTGTTGATACATTGTCTTACATTTGTTTTCCTTTTGTGTCCTATCTTATTCCTTATGTAAATTCTCTAAGAACACGTACAAACGTGAAAGACAAACATACAAATTAAGACAAACATAATTTGTGGAGAGTTATAAACATAGATGCACAGGACTTGCCAAAGGGCAGTTGAAGATGTGCCTTTCTTTTCAGAGATCTCATTGTCCTCCTGTTTCCCTTCCTTGTGTGCTCTTCCAATGGTTCACTAAGTACCTATTAACACTAATCTCCTTTGACTTAATATGGATTAAATATTAAGTAATCAGATGATGCAAATGGCACCAAAGTAAAATGTTTTAAAGCAGTGTGATGCATATATATATATATATATATTTGTCTTTAAGTGATGTAATCTTTGGACAATGCCATCTTACTATTCTTTATGATTTCAGTTATGTGCCCCCAGGTCACCTTCAGGCCCAAGGTCACCGAGTTCTGTTAACTCCAATATTAGTATATCAACTGAGAAATTCATGGCAAAATGTAAACTTTGTTAAAAATACATTATTGTATTTAGTGTTTTCAAGTACAAACAAGATAAAACATTAATAACCAGTATAGCAAACTTCAAATAACCAAAAGAAAAGAAATACAGAGGTAGGCAAAGTCACATGTATCCACACTGGTGTGAAAGGAATATTTTTATAGTATCATGGGCACCCCATGAGGGTTTGAGGATGTATGGAGAGGAGTCCAGACAGTCAATAGCAAATGTACGGACACTTAAAGGAGAACTATGGGGTAAGTGTTTTTCCCCATAGTTCTCCTAAGGGTCACGGGAGGACACAAACTAGCGTTCTCCCGTGACCCAAAGCTCAGTATATCGCGAGCTAGAGCTCATGGTATGCTGAGACCGCCGCAGCCTGGACGGATCCTGACATTACTGTCGAGATCCACCCAGCTGCGTTATTTACAGCTGGCTCTGCCTATCTAGAGGCAGAGCCAGCTGTACCTGCCCACTCCCCCATCCATTCCGCCAGTCAGCACTAGAGGATCGGAGCAGGGAGGGGGAAAATCCCTGCAGGGAGCCGTGAGTGACAGTTACGGCTCTCTGCAGGGACATGATCGAGATGTGAGCGAGCGACAGTATGTGTTCGCTCACTTCCCGATCTATTGAGCCGACGTGTGACAGTTTCAATGTCACACGTCGGCTCGAACTATGAGGCTGAGTGAAAATAACTCACCTCATAGTTCTCCTTTAAGGGCATACCAGTTAGGGCTTTTTCACACCAAGCGCGGAGCAGGTGCAGAGCAGAGCAGTTGCAGATTGGATCAAAACTGCGTCCAATGTATTCCAATGGTATTTTTAGCTCCAGTTCACATTGCAGCGTTCCGATCCAGAGCAGGTAAAAAAAACTGCAACAAGCCCTATTCTACCTGCTCTGGAACGCATCAAAAACGCATGTAAACGCGTCAAAAACGCAACGCAATGCAATGCACTAACCATAAAGAAAAAAAACTCTATGGTCATCTGTGATGACCTAATCTTCCTTGGTCACTTCCTGTCCGTGGAAAAAACAATAAAAATTAAACAATAAAATAACAATAAAAACATAGCAAGCAAACGTTACTACCTAGATATCAACATGCGGGTGTATGAAAAAAACGTGTTGGGGTGTGCACGAAGGTCTGCATATAAAGTCCCAAACTGGCCCTTTGTATCTCTTTCACTCATCAGTGGGTGCACCCAAAAACGACGTCTCCTGACAGCACTTTGGCGTAGCAGTATAATAACCATCACCAGGAGCATGGCTGCATCCCATGGATCCATGTTGCAACAATTGTACACGTGAGACAAGGTCAGAGGAAGCAGGAAATAATCAGAACAGCTAATGAAAGTTCAGAGGTAAAAGGAAATTACCTCATAACATTGTTAGCTTCCTGAAAAAAACAAAACAAACGCTCTGGAACGCATCAAAAACGCGTCTAAAGACTAACGTGTGTGTGCAGAAACGCGAGCAGATCTGCTCTGCATTTGGTGTGAACAAGGCCTAAAGGTTTCTGATCGTAGCGGGATGTACAGTGTACGTCTCCCATCACAGAGGGGTTTATTTTTTTATGTCACTTTGCTGCAACGAGAATTTGTCCACAAACGAAAATGCGTACAGACTACCGCTGCTGCAGGCAGCAACACAAATTAAATGTCATATGTTACCTCATTCATGTTGGCACCACTGTATAGCCCCTTTCAAGAAACTAATGGCTACCATGGCAGAGCTATAGTCTTGAGCATGAATGAAAAGTTGGTTGATAATTTAGTGTCCCAAATTCGTGGTGACACAAAGCCCCATTCTCTTTCTACTGAGCTCCTTATAATTTTCCTTACTATTTCATGGCTGGTGCAGAAAATTAAACCACCACAACACAGATGTTGGGAAATCAGAATGTTTGTTGCTGCCAACAGATCAAAGGGAAAAAAACACATCAGTATATGTTGGGAAAAGATCAGGGGACAGTAACAGGGCCGGATCCAGAGTCTATTCTCGGGAGGGGCACTGCCAGAAAATTATGTTTTGCTTACAGAACGGTTAATGTTTTATTTAAGACGGTTTCCCGGCCAACTACAATTAAGCCGGCCAAACAACATGCAGCCGGCTTCCCTGGCAATCAGAAGCCGGGCGGCATGTCATTACCCACTGCCGGCTTCCTGTTCCATGCCAGTGGAAGCACCGGTACGCAGTATCGGCGAGTACCAAAAGCAAAATATCGGTACTCGTACTTGATACCGAAAAACCGGCATTGGTGCATCCCTAGTTTTGATTAAAACTATTTTTTTGTATTGGGACAAGTAGATTGTCATGAATGGCAAGTAGATTCGGCCCCCGCTTTATCCCTTGGACAAGTCGTTTTTTTGTGTAAATGTCCACACCCCTGATTACACAACAATGCAGAATACCATCAGCTATAGAGGACTACAAATCCCAGCAATAATACAATATACAGCAATGAAGACTGCCAACAGCTATAGAGAACTACGATTCCCAGCAATACCATTATACAGCAATGCAGAATAGCATTAGCAATAGAGGACTACAAATCCCAGCAATACATATTACAGCAATGCAGAATAATATGAAGCTCTGGGTTCGCCGCCTGATGTCACCAGGGTCTCAGGAGGGTTGTGCGGGCTCTCACCAGGGGTCCAGAGAGTTTCACAGGTGCGTGTGGGTGCAGCAGAGGCGGCTCCCTAATTAGGCTCTCAGGTGGCCAATGCAGACTGTCAGGTGATCAGTGCGGGCTCTCTGCTGGTCAGTGCGGGATCCATAATAATTAGTGGTGGCTCTGTGGTAGCTCCCAGGTGGGTAGTGGGGGCTCCACTGTGGCCAGCGGGAGCTCCCTGGTGATTAGTGAGGGCTCTGTGGTGGCCAGTGGAGACTCCCTGGTGGCTAGTGTGGGCTCCCTAGTGTAGGCTGACCATTCATTCCTGATTTCAACGCGGGAAGGACAGGTGCTGCGTATGATTAGTACACCGCCCCTCTCCTTCTCTATGGGAGTATGCAGCCGTACACCCCCCTATGCTCACCCGCCCTGCACGTCCGTACGGGTGCATGTTTCCTGGCTCGGACGCAGACAGGATCCATCCTGTCAGCATACTGGTACGCTCACCCGCACCGATGTGCAGGACGGGTGAGCGCAGGCCGGCGTACGGCAGCGTAGTCCCATAGAGAAGAATGGTAGCTGTGTACTAATCACACGCAGCACCTGTCCTTCCCGGGAGCTGCCCGATACGGCCGTGCACACAGCAAGGAGCTGTATGTGCCGGCCAATTCCAGTGTGAATGAGCCATTAAAAATGTCCCTGGGTTTCAAATCACTGGTCACCTTACCCTGGTGGACAGTGGGGGCTCAGGGGGGCCCTGGTTGGTAGTGAGGGCTCTCCTTTGGCCACACCAGCCAGTTTGCCCGCAGCAGATGCCGGAGGGCCCGTCACCGAACCCCCCGCGCTAAATAAAAGCCCCCGGCCGCAGGTGCAGTGGCTCCCTCCCTCCATCGCCTCTCTGCCCGTCCGCACGATTACAGAGCCGCATCTGTAGCGGTGCAGGTGGCAGAAAGGCGGCGTAGGGAGGGAACCACTGCACTTGTGGCCGGGGGCTTAATTTAGTGGGGGGGTGACGGGTCCCCTGATACCCGCGGGCACCTTAGTTCAACCCTGGCTGGTGGTATTCAGCAGTGCTGTATAATCATTATACAGCACTGCTGAATACCACCGACCCAGCTACAGTCCCCCAATCCATTACAAGTCTACAACAATATACTCCACCATATACAGTAACAGTTTAAAAAAAAGCTATAGTATTATTATTATTAATAATTATTAGCTGTAATGATCACGGCCGCGCTCCACAGACGAACGCAAGCTGCAAGGCGGAAGTAAAACCGCCGATGCGTTCCAGCGTGGAACGCAGCGGCCCCTCTGACGTGGGTAGCTCCACCCACACTCCTACCCCATAAAAGGCCGGAAGAGAGATCAGTATGGCGTTCCACTATTGCAAGTAAACGCCAGCTGACACCTGGAGAGACTTGGAACTGGACCATAGGACCTGTGTGCTGCAAGGATCCCCCATTTACTAGGACATCTAATAACACGTATTCACTAGTCTTGGACAGAACTAGTACTCACTAGTGTTGAAACTTTGAACTTCTTTACTGCTAATGCTGAATGGACTTTCTCATTGATTCCTGAGCCTCGGCATTTAAAGGGAAAGTGTATTTTACATCTCTTGTTTAATAATTAATACTGGATGCTACTTATTGTTTCAATTTGCTTGAACCACACATAAAGGGTTGTAATCCGGGTATGCGGTAAATACCCTGGGGCCACTCGTGTGCAACACCTACTCCCAAATAAATTGCGGCATATGATGGTAGAGCTCCGAACTCTCCGTTAAAGTTTGAGAGTGACGCCTGGAGCTCGACCCTGAAGCCGTACCCTAAGCAATTCTCCTGTTATTAGTAAACTCCGCAGCCGAGATTCATATAACCAAACCTGGTCGTTACATTAGCAGATAGTGAGATCCAATCAGGACTGCTTAGGGTCCGAAGATATCATCACTCTACTGCAGGCAGGAGGAGGCTTTTCCTCAGTCATCTCTCCCCTCTGATCAAACTGCATAACTGTAGACTATGTAGCAAGTCACAAAGTGAAAGGCTGTTGCAAGAACTTACCAGTGTCAGCACTGCAAAAGGACCGGGATTTACATCACTGTGTCATCTCTAACTCAACATCTTAGTCCAAAAGTAGATGTGACCCTGGACATTTCCTGAGCAAAGATGGTGCTCTTGTCCTGAAAAGAGAATGAAGGTATGGTTAGAGTATAGTGCTCTGTTTGAGGTAATAAATACCTGTAAGTAGAGGTGCACCGAAATGGAAATTTTAAAACCGAAATAAAAAAAAATTGTCAAGCCAAAACCGAAAATGTTTTTTATTTAAAATTTTTCAGTGTTTTCAAATATTTATTTATTTTTTTATAAACTTTTTAATTTTTTTGTATGTATTCTTATTTATTAATTCGTTTTCTATAAAATATTTCTATTTTTTTAACTTTACTTTTAGGGCCTTAGGGAAATATTAGGGATCTAAACAGACCCCTAATCGCTGTATAGGCAGAAAAATTGCACTTTCGGCATTCAGCCAAAAGTGCAATTTTCGGCCAATATGTTTCGGCGGCCAATATATCGGTGCATCCCCACCTGTAAGTGTTACATTTAAACTACTCAGCATGACCTCCACATTAAAACATATATCTACTGCTTAATCCACTATAGGTCTATATTAACAGCTGAGTAATAACAGGCACCACTAGTCACATGTTGGCTCAGGGTTGTCAGTGGCATGGTAGCCTCTAAATGCCACAGACATGGCAAAACTAACTTATGATGTCATGCATAATGTAAAATAGATAACTAGGGACAAAGTTTCAAGCATGTGACACCTTCTAGACTTATGAGGATAGAAGGCAAACTCTACTGCAGAGAAGTCTTATCACTGAAATCCCCAATATATAAGTCAATATATATCCCCAATATATAAATCAATGTATGCTTCAACACACTAGCTTACCCAAACATGAATTATCTGTTCTTGGCTGGGTCTGTTGAAATAGGACTCCTATTTTTTTATTTTTGGATAAACTGGGTAACGGTTATGCTTGTCAGGCATTTATCACTGTTTGCATTCCTGTTGAAGAGATTATCTGTGCTTCCTGAGA